CTTTTGTGAACCACACGTGTCACGGGAGTTTCTCTGTCGAACGGGGCAAACCTTACATGTTGAGGGTGACTCTGGGCAGCTCACAGTGAGAGTAAAACCCAAAAACAATTGAAAGAATACACACATTAATTAATTAAAAGTCAGACTACATAAACAAAAAAAAAACCCTATACATAAAAAGTCCAAAAACATTCAAGATGCTGGGGGTAGAATCAATTACCCCGCAAGCCACTTTCACTGGTGTGAGCCCCCATCCGGCCCCCAGGCCATCCGGCATAGCCAAGATTTCATGCTCTTCCTGAAGGCCATGAGAGGGGGCACACTGCACCTCAGGTAGTAAGTTGTTCCACAGAGTGGGGGCCACGCCCTCTTCCTAGATCCCACCAGTCGAAATTCCTTGACTGGTGTGGTCCGCAACAAGCCCCTTCTGCCAGACCGAGTGGGGTGGGCTGATATAATGGGGACGAGACAGCTCCTCAGATAACCTGGTCTTGTGCCATGAAGGGCTTTAAAGGTGATAACCAACACCTTGAATTGGACCCAGAAGCAAACCAACAACCAATGTAGCTCACATAACAGAGGTGTTATATGGGCCCTCCAGGGGCATTCAGAACTGTCTGCGCCGCTGCATTCTGCACCAGCTGTAGCTTCCGGATATACTCTTCAAGGGTAGCCCCATGTAGAGCACATTGTAGTAATCCAACCAGGAGGTGACCAGGGCATGAGTGACTGTGCGGAGAGCCTCCCAATCCAGGAAGGGGTGTAGCTGATGCACAACATGAAGTTCCACAAAGGCCCTCCTAGCCACAACTGCCACCTGCTCTTTGAACAGGAGTCATGAGTCTAGGAAGACCCCCAGATTGCGCGCCGGGTCTGTCTGGGGTAGTGCGACCCCGTCAAGAACCAAAGATGATAAACTCCTAGATCTTGAGGCTCCCCATATCCACAGACACTCCATTTTACCAGGGTTCAGTTGAAGCCTGTTGTCCCCCATCCAGGGCTCTACAGCCTCCAGGCACCGCAAAAGAGTAGCCACAGCATCACTTAAGTCAACTGGAATGGAGATATATAGTTGAGTATCATCAGCATATTGATGATACCTCATCCCATGGTGCCAGACGATCTCACCCAACGGTTTCATGTAGATGTTAAATAGGAGCGTCGAGAGCACCGAGCCTTGAGGCACCCCACAAAGTAGGGGCCATGGGTTGGACCTCTCGCTCTCTATCAACACCGATTGGGT